ATCTGGTCTGCGTATACTATACTGCCATTAAAAATAATCACACTGAAATACCTAAGATGATGCGAAAGGAATATTAAGAGGAAAAAGAAAGAATCAGAATATGCTTATTATGACCCCATTACTAATTATTTTAAAAAGTCATGTGTAGCTAAGTAAAAAAAGATTGCATATTGTTTGATTCCACTTACATGCCATATCCAAACTACACAAATCCACAATGACAGCAAGTTTTTTAGTGGCAGTCAGAGGCTGTGGAAAGGGAGAAACGGTGTGACTATTAACAGGTATGGGGTTTCTTTGGGGGTGATAAAAATGTTCTGAAAGTAGGTAGTGACAATGGTTGTATAACTTTCTGAAAATACTAAAACCCAATGAATTGTACACTTTAAAATGCTGAATTTTATGGTATGTGGGTTGTATGTCAATAAAGAATGTATCTTAAAAGTAACTGAAGGAAAAAATTGTGCAACAGATATACTTATGTATTTAAATATAAAGAAAGGGGGATGAAAGATGCACAGAAAACTGTCGACAACAGAAGGAAAGGGAAGTGGACACAAATAAGATAAAAGGAGACGCTTGTGTTCTGTCTAGTTTTACATCATTTGAATCATATGACTTGAATCATTTATAACTAAAATGTTTTAATGTGTTACTTAAAGTAACAAATTGTGTAATAAAAACAATGACAAGAAAAAATTAATTCAAATCGAGTAAGTAAGTTAGACAATGTTTGAGTTTTGTTAGTTCACCAAGATCAACAGATACTATACAAAAGAGAAGATTTCAGAGAAATGTCTTTCCTCCTTAGTTCATTTGGCCTTCGAAGGCTGAATACTTTCTCCTCTTTGTTACGAAGAATGACTTTTTTTTGGATTCATAATAAGTTTTAACACAATACTATCTTAAAATACATACACACACACAGGTGCTGCTCAACTCTCTAATAATCACACTGGATAGTACATGTAAGAATAATTGAAGTTCATGGGCAGCAGAGAACAAATCTAACACTGCTGTCTTTTCTTTTATTTTACTCAAGTATAAAATAAAATGCTCAAAATGCCATGGTGAGAAAGAGAAGCATTATTGATAGATTATATATGATCACCTACTTAGAAAAACCAACTTAATCTAAATACAAACTATTAGAAAAAATCAGAGCTTAGCAGTGTTGTTGATATATGAGTGACCTACAAAAATCAATGGTGTACCTCAACACCAGCAATAACCAATAGAAAATATAGTGAACAGGAAGAGCAATAAACCTTAAATATTTAGGAATTCAGCTAAGCAATAAAATTCAATACCTCTCTAGAAAAATAATTTTAAAATCTAATAAAGGACATCAAAAATAATCAGAATAAATGGAAATTATAGTCATTTTTAAAATGTAACTATTCCCATCACTAACCAATAAACTCCCAAACTTCAACCTGAACACCTTTGAGAAATTTATCATATTTACTGTAAAATTTACATGGAAGAAAAAAGGTCAACGCATAGCTAACTATAAAACAGAAAATTTTAAAGTTGGCCACCAGATATAAAGACACACCATAAAGTTGTAGTAACAGAGAAATAGACCAATGGGACAGAGTAAGTATCTTGGAAACACAGTCATGTGTATATGAATACCCCATGTATGACAAAACGCATATAAATAAAAAAAATTGATTGTTTACAAGAAGGTATAAGAAAAACTCATCCACTACATGGAGGAAAATAAAACTGGATCCCTTCCTAACACCATTTAAAAAGCAAAACTCTTGACAGGTTTGAGATAAAAAAGGCAACAAATGGAGTATAATCTGCAAAAACACTGAATCACTATGCTGTACACCTGAACTAATATACTAATATAATATTGTAAATCAGCTAAGCTTCAATTTTTAAAAATGCATAAAGGCAACAGAACTATAAGGTTAACTGAAGAAAATATCTCGGACTTGGTAAATAAAGAAAATAAATTAGGTCTATGTTATGGAGGGGGAGGTGATTTATTTGGTTGCCTCACATTTAAGGATCTCTGCCTCTGGATGGGCTGAGGAAGACGGTGGCACCTAGGTCAGAATCACTCCACAAACTATACGTATTAACCAGAAGAACAAATACTACCACAGAAAACCCATCTCTTCAGCCTAACTAGAAGGTGGGGGACACCAGGTCCCACTGAAAGCATCTGTGGAGAGGGAGAGAAGTCCAAGAAAACCGGGGGAGGAGAGAGAAGTGTTGTTGTTTCACATCCTTGGAAGTTCCCCTGAAACTCAAAACTAGCCCCCAATACAGAACTTACCCACGAGGTTTGTCCTGGGCAGCCCACAAGGCAAGATCTCTAACCCCACCTGCCAGAATCTTAAAAGTTTATGTAGAGGCCTTAACTGAATTCAGTCATGTGGACCACCCAGTCTCAACAACACAGTAAAACGCATACTCCAGGGAGAGGGGAGGGGACACGGCCTCTCCCACTGCCGGTCCGGCTGGAGGGTCAACTGGCAGTCACGATCTCCTCCAACGGAGGTGGGTTGCCTAAAATTGAATTAAAATCACCTCCAGAAAAAGAAAGTCCATACTAGTCATGAGAAAACTTAGTAATAGTAACAACTATAGGGAAGAGACTTCAAGGTGTGCAGGGCCCAAGGTGGCAGCCTCAGAAAGGCACAACATTTGAAGAGGGAAAAAAAGAAACCACTTTGGAGACTGCAGCGGTGAGGATAAAAGAAGCGTACGAAAGAAATGTGGTACTCTAGCTGACAGAAGAAAATTTAAAAATTGGGGAATACACTGCAACTGTGCCACTATGACAGATACACATAGATGACAGACAGACAGACAGACATTAAAGAAGCTGTACTTCACATAGAAGTGACAGCTCTTGAATTTAACACCTGTAATCTTCCCCAATTCTCAAGCTGATCCACAAAATAGATTCCAAACCAGTGTACATTTATACATACTTGGAATAAAATCAAAACTTAAAATTGAAACAATTAAACTAGTAAAATTTCCCCCACACCAGCCTAAAAACAACAAAGAGCAGAAGAAACTAACACAACATTCCAAACCAAATCCAGTATTTTCAAGCAAACATGTGGGAATATGAAAAAATACCTTAAATCACATGATCAAAATCTAAGGATCAGAAATGGCCATAAAACAGGAAGAAATAAAGGCTGACAGAAAGAAATGGAAAAAGAAAAATCATCTCAGAAATGAAAAATTAAATTACAAGTTGTGCTGGGAAGATTATATTTGAACGAACACTTAATAAGAGGAAATGAAGAAAAGTAGAAAAACAACCAATAAAAATAAGATTAAAAAAACATTTAAAAGGGTCAAAAAGAAAGTAGTTTAGCTGGAAGACACACAAAGGAGATTTGATTACACATGATCAGACTTTCTGAGAAAGAAAAGAAAAACCCAATGGAATAGAACTAGTATTTTAAAATATAATCCATGAAAACTTTCAGGAAATGATAAAATATCTCAATCAATATACTAAACGGGCCCACCAGGAACCTGGAAAAGTTCAGCCGGGATGATCAACCCTCAGATCTACCTAGTAAACCTATTCAACTTTTCATATAAAGGGAAAAAAACCTCAGGTCTCCAGGCAGGCAAAAAGACTAAAATTTTTGAAACAGCAAAAGAATTTAACTGGTATCAATATTCTCAAGAGCAACATACAAATCAAGGCAAGAAGCAAGCAACATTAGCCAAGAAAATCAAGGGGGAAAATGTGAACCAAGGATTTTATATCTAGCTAAGCTGTTGTTCAGTATCAAGACATAGGTAAGAAGTAAACACTAAAAAACAGTTTTACACATTCAAGAACATGGAGAATTCTGTATTCATGAATCCTTGAAGAATCTGCTAGAGGCTGAATTTCATCCAACCAAGTTATGACTGAGGAAATTTAGGCAAAAGAAGTGATGGAGAGGATTTAACATACTTAATTTGATTTAAGATTAAAACAAAATTGGAGAAGAGAGCCGAAAAGTATAAAATGCCATATGATTTGACAAAGTAAATTTGTGAATCAAAGTAGAGAAAGGAGAGGGGAAATGGAAAGGAGAATAAATTCACTAACGTTGCACAGAAGTGGTCCTCAAATCTTTTGGCCTCCCAAATCCCTGTACTTCTAAAATTTTTGAGAATCTCAGAAAATCTTTGAGTTACATGTATCAATATTTTCCATATTAGAAATTAAAACTGAGAAGATATTTATTTAAAATAATAATAAGCTTATTACATGAAAACATAAATAACATTTTTATGAAAAATAATACTGTGCCCAAAAAATACAGTGAGAAGAGTGGCATCATTTCACATTTTTGGAAATTCCTTTAAGGTCTCACTTATTAGAAGACAGCTGGACTTTCATATGTGTTTCACACTTTTCATAAGCCATTAGAGGAACAACAACATCACACATCATGCAGCCTCTGGAAGGTGAAGTTCATGTGCACTCATGAGAAAGCAAGAGTGCAACAGCAAAGTCTTGGCGCTATCAGGAAAATATTTTCGCCATCACAGCCTTCCTGAAAGGGTTTCAGGGGCCGCCAATGAACCACACTTTGAGAACATCTGTTGTACAGATAAAAGTGACGAGTCAAAGGAATACATTGGAATTAACAGATACACACTATTATATGTAAAATAGATAAACAAGAACCTACTGTATAGCCCAAAAACTATACTCAAATTTTTTGTAATAAACTATAATGGAAAAGAATCTGAATATCTGTATGTATACATCTGTGTATATAAATAAACATATATATATATCACTGAACCGCTTTGCTGTACACCTGAAATTAATATTGTAGATCAACTACACTTCAATGAAAAAGAAAAAAAAACTGACACACCAGATAAAGGCTAAGAAAACAGCGGAGAAGGGCATTTAAAAAGGTGTAAGTACAGAGGTTTTCAATAAATACCTAAGCCTAATATAAAAAAAGATTTTTTCAATTAAAAGCCAAAGTAAACACACCATCTCGAGAAACAGAGAAACTTTAATAAAATGATATAATAATTACAACTGAAATAAAGTAACAGCACAGAGACCCAACATAACAAGCATATTAATAAAAGGAAACTGGCTTAATTCATCTTTCCAAAGAGGAATATTTCCAAAATGACTGATAAATATCAAGTCTATGATGTGCATAAGAGTCACAACTGAAAAAAAAAGTGATTCCAAAAGGCTAAACATAAACGGATGGATATAGGTATAATCGGCCAATGAAATCAGTAAGAAAGTGTTCATAATCTTGGTATCACACAAAAAGTAGGATACAAGCCATAAAAAAAAAAACTGTGACAAAAAGGATAATGTTAATGCTAAAAGCTATAATTCAAAACAGAGATATATAACATTTAGAAACATCTATGCAACAAATAACACATGAATCATCATTATAGAGCAGAAACTACAGGAAAATCAAGTCAAAATACACGAAAGTACCCTGATAGACTTCAGCAAACTCCTTTCATTATAACACAGGTCAAGTGGACAAAAAATCAATAGGGCTATAGAACACATAAACATTCTCACTGAAATAGATCTTATTGAAACATATCAAACATTAAATCCTGATAAAAGAACATACGTATTCCTCTCAAGCATGCATAAAACATTTACAAAATTGATCAACTATTAGGTCACAAAGAAAACATCACTAAGTCACATGGAGAAAAAATATTATAAACAGCACTCCCTAATTAAAATGCAATTAAATCAGCAATTAATAACAATATTTAAAAATAAGAAAACTTTCACTTGGGAATTAAAATTTTTCTCTTTAAGAAAATTAAATGAAAGAGGAAATATAATCTCAAATTTCAAAATTCCTAAAATGTAATGTTAATGAAAATACTACATGGCAGAATGTATGGAATACATTCAAGCAGTAATCGGAAGAAAATAATTGATTTCTAAAACTTACTGCAAACTAAAAATGTATTTTTTAACTCTAAGAGAACCCAGACATAAGGGGGCCTGCCACAATAGTATGAGGTTACTCCCAAAAATTGCTTTTTAAAAGAATAAAAAAAGTTAATCAAAATAAAGCACAATGATGAAAATAGATAAAAATAAAAATTAATGAAGAGAAAACCAAGAAATCTAATAAATCAAATCCTTGTTCTTGAATATTAAGTAGATATCACTAGATCACCTGATTAAGAAAAAAAGAAGGCACAAGTATAAAAAGTAAAAAAAAAAAACAACCAGACCACTGAGACCAAAAAAAACTTCTAAAATCAGGAGATTATTTTGCATAACTATGTGCAAATAAATTTGAACACCTGTATTAAATTATTTGATGAAATGCAGTTTACCAAAGTTGACTCAAGTAGACTTACAAAGCATTTTAAATGGGCCAATGTTTACAGAAAAAAAAATTTATCAAGGCAATACTCCAAGAAAAGCACCAGGCCCAGATGGTTTCACAAGGAAATTTTAACTGTCAATAACCAGATAGTGCCAATGTTAAAAAAAACAAAAACAAATAAACTGTTCTAAACATAGAAAATGAAGAAAAACAACTTTCAAAGTCATTTTATGAAGCAAATATTGATACCCAAATAAGCTATAGTTCAAAATTTTTTTAACTCGAAGTAGAAACTGGTATAATTTACAAATATCTATGCAAATGTTATTTGTTAGCAAACAGAATTCATCACACTATGAATATACAATAACCAAACAGGATTTCTTCTATGAATACAAGGTACACTCAATGTAGGAAATCTATTAGCATAAAATAACAAGTCTGAGAAAAATCATTGTTACTATTTTGATAAATTCTAGGAACTTCACTTTAAAAAGTCAACACCTATTCATAGTAAACACACATGCACTCACACATACCATGACCCCAAAGCCACAATCTTACTTAGTAAAAAAGCACTACAGTTATGCACAAGAGTTGTACTTCTCACATGGTCCCAAAGATCCCCGTCTCCACGTATTCAATTCTTTGAATAGATCCCACCCACCCATACTGAATAGTGCTGATCTGTTTACCCAATTATACAAATTATGGAAATGATGTTTTTATAACTTATCATTGGATGTCAAACAACTGTTTCCATCTTGTTCTCCCTTTTGGATCTTGTATCCAGTGGAAGCCAGCTGCCATGTTGTGAGGACACTTAGGCAGCCCTACGGAGAGCATCACACGGTGAGAAACCATGGCCTCCCGCTAACAGTCATCACCAGCTTGCCAGCCACACAAGCGAGCCATTTTAGAAGCACCAGTGAGTGAAGCCTCAGGTGTCTGCAGCCCCAACCACCATCTTGACTACTACTTCATCAGAAGCCCCCAAGCCAGAACCACCCTGCTAGGACACTCCTAAATTCCTGACCTACAGCACATGTGACATAATAAATGTTGATTATTGTTTTAAGCCACTAAGTTTAGAGGTAATTTGTTATGCAGCAATAGATAACGAGAACAACCTGTATGAGAAAAATCTTAAAAATTACTGAAAGACACAAAGTCAAATTTGAACAAATGAAGGAGCCCTTGTTCTTAGACAGGACAACTAAACGTCATAAAAAGATCACTTCTCTCTACACTATAAACTTAAGGCAATAATAAAAACACCAATAAGCTTTTTTTTTTATGAAGCTAGGTAAGCTCCAACAAAAGTTCATAGGAAAAAATAAACATGAATGAATAGCCAGAAAAACCATGAAAAAACAAAGTTATGAAAAGGAACTAACCCCACCAGGTACTAAAACATTCTATAAAGTTTCTATAATTAAAATAGTATAGTATTGGCCCACAAACAGGTAGACAGGCTGGTGCAATAGAACAGAATGCCCAGATAGAGAACCAAGTATATATGGAAATTTAGTACATATGAAAACTTAACATATAATAAAGAAGGCTTTCAAACCCATGGGCAAAGATGGACTTTTAAAAAGTGATACTGGGATAACTAGATAGTCTTTTGGGAAAATATACAATTAAATGCAATATCCACATTATATGTAAAAATAAACTAAATGGATCCAGAGAGCTAAATGTGAAAAATAAAACTATACAAATACTAGAAGAAAACATAGTTGAATTCATCTGTAACGTGAGTCTAAGAAAAGTACCTAAGATCTAAAATACAGCTGAAAAAAAATTAAGATAAATTTGACTATATAAAAACTTTTAAATATTTTTCATGAAAAAAAATAGCACAACCAAAGTAAAATGACAGAAGACAAACTGGGAAAAAAACATTTGCAGAATGTATCACAGATAAGAAAATATTATTCTTAATATACTTAAGAACTGTTAAAGGGGAAAATGACCACAACTTCAACAGAACCTTGAATTAAAGGCATAAGTAAACAACTCATGAGAAAGATATACAATGGTCCTTAGTCATACAGAACTGTTTCAATTATACTCATAAGAAAAAAGCAAATAAAATTACACTGAGATACCACTTCTATCTAAATGGAGCAAGAACACAGAGATGGTTCTGAAGCAATCTGAGTGCAGCATCCCTCTTGACTTTCACAATCTCCCCCAAATTCTATAGTTTTCTAGCCCACATTCTAATTCCAAAGCAATTTTTTTTCAATTTAATATAATGAGTCTTTCCAGTAGAAGAAACCAGGTTTCATAAAAACACCCTCTCCCCGCCTTCTGCCAGACATCAATAGTTGTGCTAAGCAGAACAACGGTCCTCCAGAGATGCCCACGCTCTAATCCTCAGAACCTACGGATATGTTACTTTACACGGCAAAAGGGATTTTGCGGGTGTGATTACATCAAAGATCTTGAGCTGGGCAGATTGTGCTGGATTACCTGGTGGGCCTAATGTAATCACAAGTTTCCTTGTGAAACAGAGAGGTGAAGAGTAATTTGAAAATACTATGCTGGTGGCTCTGAAGATAAAGGAGACAGCCACAGTCAAGGAATGCAGGTATTCCTACTGTAGAGCCCAGGGAACTATATTCAATACCTTCTAGTAACCTACAATGAAAAAGAATACATGTATGTAAATGTATCACTAAAGTATTGTGCTGTACACCAGAAATTGACACAACATTGTAAACTGACTATATTTCAATAAAAAAATGTTAAATAAAATTTTTTTTTAAAAAAGGAATGCAGGTGTCCTTTGGAAGCCGGACAAAGCAAGGAAGAGATCCTCACTTAGAGCTAAGAAAGGCATGTAGCCCTGCTGGCACCTTAACTTTAGTCCAATGAAACCCATTTCAGACCGACCTCTAGTAAGATAATAAATTTGTATTGTTTTAAGCCACTGGGTCTACAGCAGCAATAGAAAATGAATACATCAGTTCACAAAATAGTTAAGTAATTCTAACTGTAATGAGCATAAACCGATTGGGGAATAAATGCAAGTTACCCTTGCAATTCAGCATATAATTCAACTTTTGAGACCAGAAGTCGACAAGTGAATGATGAGGTATACTGGCAGTGACTATTTAGGATGCTGTGGGAACACCACTCAGCATGATTTATGGGAAAATGGAGAGCATTCATTCATATAGCCAACAAGCCTCTTAATCCAGAAAGGAAGCGTCTATTCCAGCGGCTACCTTTTTTAAGTGCTCATTATATGCCAGGCACTGTGCTAATTATTTTACAGCAATTCTATAAATCAATATTCTTTTCAATTATATTTCACCCATGAGAAAACCTAAATTCAGAGTGCTTAAATAACTTGTCTCAGACCACTTCGTCAGTGAATGGCAGACTTACGAGCCAACGCTTGCTCTGTGATCCGTCTGATTCCAAAGGCTAGACTCTTAAGGTCTTTCCCAAACCTGAGATTCTACGTTTCCCAGATGCCAACCCCAACAGCTTCTTTTACAGATGAAAAAACTAAATTAGTCTAACCCGTTCTAGCTCTATCCCCAAAGTAGTCAAAACCATAGCAAGAAACGGAATAATCAAACAGGGTAATTTGAAAGGAACTGAATAAAGGACTTTTCACAAGATCTGTTTTTACACACACTCAGAAACACATCAAGTGAGTCAAAATGGAAGCTTATTCCACATCAGGGAAAGAAGGCAAATAAGATCGCATGAGAATGACATGACATGTACAGAGTATAGCTTGTAGTTAGGAAGTATAAACCAAGGGATATACAGACTTTTCTCTTTCATGTATCGAGCATCACATGGCATTAGTAAGAAATTTCATTTGAGATTATGATAAATATGTAGCTAAACAATGATTCCAACTCAGCCATTTACTGGCTGTGTGCCCTTGGATAAGTTACTTACACAGATGAAGATCCAAGGCTCACAGTGGGTATCACTCATTACATCTCCACAAGGTTGCTTCAGGGGTTAAGTGAGATAATGGATATGGAAGTGCTTAGTAAATACACTAAAATGTCCTCTGCAGATATGAAAAATGGTTATATGAGAAATAAATGAAGTGGCTGATCAGCATGACTAAACGTGTCGTTAGACTAAAGCAAACTTAACTCAGGGCTCCGTCTGAACTGAGAATTATAAATCATCAGAAATGCTGGGTTTTTTGTTAAAAACGTTCCTGATGTTACAGGCTTGTCATCTAGGACCTCTCATCACTGCACCCAATGTCTGGGAAATGCAAATTGACTATCGTTTTTAAGTAAAACAAGATGACAAATTAAAGCTCAGGCAGGTTCCTTTGCAATTATAACCTAACACTGCAACGGGTCCTTGTTAAAATGGTTTCACTAAATCCAACTGTTCAATTCCCTCTTGCAATATATGGTATTTAACTATTGCTATACAGTGAGGTCATGCATTTATTATAAAAATAAAATGCCAAAAATCGCAACCATTTTGGCCTTTTTATAAAAAAAAACGTTTTTCTTGAGTGTACAATATAGTGACAAGTAGGCTGCCCAGATCTATTTGAGAAAAACATTTTTGTTTGAATGTATGAACTGGTGAGGCAGAATAAATGTTAAGTGAATGGTGAAATGGACTGTCTTAACTTTACATCTCTCATACTCCTGAGCAAAATATTTGTTAAAAGAACACTGGAAAAGAAGAGCAGGTGGTGGGTAGATGAGCAAGTGACATGGAGATGTAATTCACAAAAGGTATGTAAATGATCAATGATATGAAAAAATTTCAACTGTTAGCTCCGTGAGAGCAAGGCTTTTGTTTTGTGACCTGTTTCATCCCTATAGCCTTCTTCCACAGAATCTGGAACATAGTAGATGTTCGATGTCTACCGACCAGATGAATGAACTCTCCTGGTATTCATGTAAGTGCCCAATTAAACCATAACAAGATGTCATTATTCATCCAACAGATAACCAAATTTTGATTTTGTTTTTCATGATAAAATGCAATGCTGGCACAGCACAGAAGAAGATTTCAGGTATGATTCTATTTTGGAAATTATTTGTTGGGGAGATTGGAGGGTAGAAGAAAAAGAGAAGAGAGAGAAGATAAAGAAGGGAGAGATGGAGGATCTCCAGGTTCATCTATTCCAACTCCCTCATTTTATAAATGATGACATCACTCATTTAAGATGGGACCAATCCCTGCCCTTGAAAAGCTGTCAGATGGAGGAGACAGACACTGAACAAAGTTATTACGAGGAGAAGTGCAGAGTGCTATGGGGGAGGGTAATGGAGACCCAGCCTAGGTTGTAGACTCAGAGGGAGCTTCCCAGAAGTGACACTTCAGCTAAGACTTGAAAGACAGGTAGGACTTAAGTAGACGAAGGAGCCCAAAGGCTTTGGACTTATAAAAAGTCAGTGGTGGTACAACTTACCACCTAAACCCCTACATCATATATATAAAACAAAATAAGAATCCTATGTAAAGTCAAGTGAAGGCGGCAAACCAGCTAGGAAGCTTGAGACCCAAATAACAACACGACAATGAGTTTCCTGAGGTTTTTTTTTGGACTGAATCTCAGACTAAATGGTGGGGAAGCCAACAACCTGGAAATGCCAAAAGGTATGGATAAAAGAAGAAAAAAACTAATTAATAAAAGCCTGTCTTGCCTATGCAGAGGACCAGAAAAGGGGCAGTCTAGCAAGAAAGAAAACATTTACAAGATAATCACTGTGCTCCAGACAAATACCATGGAAAAACTATGGCTGCTACCCCACCCAATGCCAATAAAGGCCAAAAGAGGAGCCTAGACTTCTACTCTCACTGGGCTTTAAGAGGAATTCCCAATCCCCTTGCCAGGAAGGCATCAAAGAATGAGTAGGGAGCGGGGATTTCCATCCCCAGCAAGTGGTAATAAATCCCCTCTTCCAGCGGACACTATGTGCGGAACCTGGACTTCCACCTACACCTGCAGGAAAGAGGTCCTCCTCTCCCTCCCTGGAGAGATGGTGTCAGGGGAGACCTAGTGAAGAGTCAGGACATTCACCCATTCCATAGTATGTAAGCGGAGCCCTGGTGGGGAGTAGCAATGAGGCATTCTTATTCTTCCTAGCCAGGGAGCTATTACTGGGGCCCAGGAGAAGCCAGACTTCCCCCTGGCACCAAGCTGTAACCCTGTAAAAGGGTCTTCTCTCCCTCAGATGTCAGTGGAGGCTGAGTGGGAAACTTTGACCCACCATGTGGCAGTGATGAGGCAGCACCCACCCTTCCCTCCTGGAATGGTATCACAAGAAGGCAGCAAAAACAGACTGAGTAAGATCCAGAGTCTCCTAACATAATATGCCAAGTGCCCCGTTCCAATAAAAAATCATTCATCATATCAAGAACCAGAAGGATCTCAAACTGAAAGCAAAAGACAATAGATGCCAACAAGATGAAAGAGACATTAGAAATCATTGACACTTCCTAGATTTGGCAAAAGATATAAATCTTCAGATTCAAGAAGCTGAACAAATCCCAAACAGGATAATCCCAAAGAAATCCACAACAAAACACATCACGGCCCAACTTTAGAAACCTAGAAACAAAACAACTTGAAAGCAGTGAGAGTGAACTGATTTCTCATCAGAAGCTATGGAGGCCACAGGAGATGGCACAAATATTTTTCAAGCACTGAAAGAAAAGAACTCTCAACTCAGAATCCTGTATAGGCTGTGAAAATGTGCTTCAGGAATTAAGGGGAAATCAACATTTTCAGATGATGAAAAACTATGAAAATTAGTTTCCAGTAATTCTATCCTAAAAGAATGGCTAAAGTAAGTTTTCTAAACAGAAAAGCAATGATAAAACAAGAAATCTTGGAACATCAAGAAGGAAAAAGATACGTAACAAAATATGGGTAAACATAGCAAACTCTCCTATTCCTAATGAGTCCTTTAAATTTTGATAGTTAAGTAAAATTTAAAATACTTTCTGATGTGGTTTTAATGGCATGTAGAAGAAATATTTAAGGTAATTAATTATAAACATGGAAAGGTAAGAATGTAGAGGGAGATAAGGTTATAAGGTTCTACACTCACTGGTAAAATGATACCAGTAGACTGGAGTATATATATATATATATATATATATATATATATACTACGTATGTGTAATAGTAGTATATATATACTATATATATAGTAATATAGATATATATATTACTGCTGTGTAATACCTACAGCAATCAATTTAAAAAGATATACGAAGAGATTCACTCAAAAACACTATATATGGATAAATCAAATGAGGATTTATATAATGTGTGGGAATAACCCAAAGGCAAAAAAAAAAAAATACTTAAGCCCTAATAAATCAATAATTACATATAAATGACCTAAATCGCCAATTAAAAGTCAGAAATGGGCAAAGCAAATTAAAAAACATGGCCCTACCATATGCTATTTTCAGGAAACTCACTTAAAATGTAACAGTACAGGCAGATTAAAAATAAAAGGATTGAAAAAGATGTTATCATACAAACATTAATAAAAAGAAATACAGATACTCCTATTAAAGGTATTCTAGCTCAAGGAAACGTTAAGGCAAAGGAAATTATCAGGAATAGAGAGGGACATTATAAAATAGTAAGAGTTAATCCAAAAAGAAGACACAGCGATCCTAAATGTGTATGTACCAAACAGAGCTGCAAAAGATGTAAAGCAAAAATGTATGGAAATAAGAGGAGCAAGAGACAAATCCACAATTGTAGTTGGAGATCTCAGTACCCTTCTCTCAGCAATTGACAGCACAACTAGACAGAGCATCGGATACAGAACTCAACAACCCCATCAGCCAACAGGATCTAACCAACATTTGTAGAACACTCCCCTAACAATAGTGGAATATCCGTTCTTTTCAAGTGCCCATCAAGCACCTACCAAGACAGTTTATGCATCCTGGGCCAGAGAACAACCCTCAGCAGATTTAAAGAATTGAAATCAGAGAGGGTGTGTTCTCCAACCATGGTGCAGTCACACTAAAATTTATAGCAAAAAACAGCTGGAAAATCTGCATTTCGAAGACTAAATGACACACTTCTAAGTAATCCATGGGTCAAAGAGAAAGTCTCATGGGATATTAAAAAAAAATACATTGAATGAAAATGAAAATACACCAAACATTTGTGGAACACAGTTAAACCAGTGCTGGGAGGGAAGTTCATAGCACTAACTGCATACATCAGAAAAGTGGGGACGTTTCCAAAGAATAATCTAAGTTACCACCTCAAGATCTAGAAAATGAAGAGAATAGTAAACCTACAGCAAGCAGGAGATAGGAACAATGAAGAGCAGAAGTCCGTTAAATACACTGGAGAATCGACAGAGAGAAATCAGTGAAACAAAGAGCTTGCTCTTTGAAAAAAATAAAACGGACAAACATCTTATAAGGCTGACAAAGAAAACTGAGAAGACACAGACTCCCAGGATCAGGAATAAAACAGAGCGTATCATCAAGGGCCAGGCAGACATGAAAGAGGTAATAGGAAAATACCATGAACGACTCTACACACATACATGTGACAACTCAGATAACGTGCTCCAATTCCTCGAAAAACACTGACTACCACAACTCACCCAGCATGAACAGAACGTTTGAATAGCCCTACAAGTATGACAGAAATCACATGTATAATTAAACATCTCCCTGAAACAGAAATCTTCAGGCCTAGATGGTTTCACTGGAGAAGTCTACCAAACGTTTTAAAGAATTGACACCATAGTCTCTTCCAGAGATCGCGGAGGGTTTGCTCTGTGCCAGGCAGTGCTCTATTCCAACTGTTTTCACATGTCTTAAACTCACTGAGTCTTTTCAGCAAAACCAGAATAGGCCCTGTTATTATGTTACTCTATCCCATGTGAGAAAAACGGAGCCCAGAGAGCTTATGCACACAGTCAGGACAAAGCCTAGCTGGATTCTAGTTTTAGCTTTTGGGCTATGTTTAAGACAAATCAGATGCTGGCTATATTTGAGTCAAATCAGATGCACAGATTTCTTGTATTTTCATCTTAATCTAACGCCAAATTTATTGTCAAATTTCACTTTTGGGAAGGGAAATTCTGATCTGACCAGGATGTGCTATTTCAACAAAGAAGCTGGGTCTAACACCCAAGCTGGCACTCTCAAAAGAAATATGCATGTTTTGTAAATAAAAATAAAGGTTATTCCTGCTGGCAAACGCCATACAATTTCCATCTCCGTGACAGTTAAAATGTATCTGAGAGAATAAACCAGAAAAGACGTTTCTTGCTGGAAATGGTAAGAGCTTCACTATAGCAGAACCAGTCGCACCACTATAATTACAAGAATCAAAACACTGCTTCATTAATTTTCCCCTGTGTTTGTTATTTCACCCCATCAAGACTAATTATACCTTTTCCCTTTGATTTTAACAAGCACCTGGGTTAAACACCATTGACAGCCCGGTTAGAGAAAGCTGCAGTACAGAAGTGTAGTCTGAACTGCCTCTGCTTAGGGGAAGACGGTATGTCAAAATTATGTTGACAAATAAAATTCTCCTGACTAGTGTTTTCTCTGAACAAAAGTGGAAACATAACTGCCCCCCCCAAAAAAGTGGAAAATCATTTAAATTTTTAATATTCAATCAATGCTCTTCATACTTATGTATTTCCCTCTCAACAACTAAGACGCTCTATCAACTCAGTCCTTGAAATAACCTGTGATGCCCCTTGGCAAGGCTTGCCCCAGTTTACTATTTGCCCAGTTTTGTATTACAAGACATTGGTAGGCAAAGGCCACACTGCTGGGAGTTAAGACCGACTCTGAGGGACACAGCAATCCTAGGAGCTCCAGGGACTAGAGGTGGCCTCCATCAGGGTTTCTCCAGCTTTTCCAGACAGGGACCTGCCACCAGCAGAACATGACCCTGCAGTGTGTGGCAATGTACCGACTGCAAGCGCCTGTATCAGGCTAAAGCATATGTAACTGTTACCCTTTGCTGATTCCATTGTATGCAACCTAATGTAATCCTTGCTACATACAATGTGGCATTGTAAGCAGTGCCCCAAGCAAAACGTCTTTTGTATCTCATTTTTTAAAAATTAAAAATCCATTCCAATCTCACATACTACCAAGTTATACATCTGCTTTAATATAAAAATGTTTCTCCCACACATCTCTGAGAAAAACGTTCTGGGAGGAGCATTTTGCCCATCTATCTGTGGCTTCACACATCCCCCACAGACATGGCCACATACTCCCAGTACAAATACGCTGCTTTGAGAATTGCAGGTGCCAGCGCCCAGGAAAAGGTTTCAGAGGCAGATCAGGAGAAATCAATGCCTGGCGAGCGCTTTGCTGTTCCCCAATTCTTCTCTGCAAAATCCTTGCCTTTAATAAGGTCCCAAGATACTGTTGGCATTTCTTTTTCCAGGAAGAAATGGTTCTCATAGCACTTGACGGAACAATTAACACCTAAGGAAGCAAGTTACAGTGCTCGCTGTAACTTCACACACACAAAAAGACAACTTTCCGTACTGGAATAGTTCCAATTGTAATCAGATGCATAGTTTCATCCAATTAAAAACTGTAATTAAAAATTGTAGCCATCCAGTGCCGCACATTGACTCCAAGTCTTCCAAAGGCTTTAGATCCAGTCACCAAGATACCAAGAAAAAGTAGAAAAAAGTTCAATGTACCTTATATATGGATATATTAAAAAAAAATTTTAAGGCATGAATTAAGATTCTAAATCTGCGCATGCTCTACCCTCCAACTCTCAGAACTGTCATTTGTGAAAGAAATTATCAGACAATAGTTCCCTCATAGTCACCCTCACCTAATCAGTGACAGGTATGATCTTGAAAGTTTCTCCCATTTCTTTCTTTCCTTGCCCAATATCCCGCTTCCATTTACAAAAACAATATTCTGGGGTAATTCATTCATTAAATTCTTTCTGGCTGCTTTCTGGAAACCTTCTGTCCTGAGGATCAGGGGAATTTTTTTTTTAATGGCTGTCAAGAATGACTTTGGTTTTGACCAGATTAATAACTACATCCTTATACAAACACACGTAACAGAGGAGCTTCGGTCCAGAGAATAATTTCCCCTAAACCTCTAAAGCAACTAGCAATGCAGTCTTTTCAAAGTTTAAACAATTGATGGACTTCTGAATTCAAGGAGACACCTGACCTCCAAAATAGAAAAACAAAGACATACAACTGAATAGTTAACATTTTCTCCTTTGTCATTGGATCTAAAAGTTCATCCTGGCACCGACACAAAGAAGTAATGATTCCATCAGCAGTCTAACAGATGGCAGGCACGAAACGGCTCTAACCTTCTCCGAGAAGGCTGGAGAATGGCTCCGTGGAGTTTAATTTAACAGGATGGAGGATGCTGTTCTCTCTCTGCTGCCTCCTGCACAGCACGCCTGTCCACAGCTCTGAGAGCTACTATCTTAAGGTCCGGCCATGCCGTCACTCAGTTTAACTCTTTCAGACAAGTAAGGGTTTCAAGTTATTGTGGAATCATTTTTCTGCATGGGTTCTGTTCCAACAAATGCAACTCCAACTTCTGATCCTAGCTAAACAGGCTGCACATGGTGGAGTCCTTTAAGGCTCTCTTCTCTTCTCTTAGCATTTAATAGACACTGGAGTATCTTTTTCTTGGACAGTGAATTTTATTTCTGAAGGGCTAGAGGCGAAACATTAGAGAAAAAGAGGTCTCGTACTGCCAACTCCCTCTGCCAGCTAGCTTAAGGGTAACCACTTTTTGGAGAACAGATATTACTTGTGAAGTTGATGGGAATTGCTGCCCAAGGCGTCAGGATCACCTGCGGGATGTGATGTAACCCTGACGCCAGGGGCTGCAGCCTAGACTCTCTGGGGGTGGGGTCCAGATGTCAGTATGTTTTTAAAGCTCCCCATGGGGTTCCAACTGGCAGTTGGGGTACACAAGAAATACTGCATTTTGAAATTTAAATATGGCATTTAATACTGCCGTCTATAAATTGTTTCTGTAACTCCATTTCTGTCCTGAGTCCTCACTGCACCGGATTTGGCATTAGGAGGAATGTATCTCTCTACATGCCTCAGTCTCTCCAAGGCTTTTGTTAAGGTTCTGGGGTTTGCAGGATTAGCCAGAACTAGTTAGCACGCCTTGTCCAGACATCTAGGCAACAAGATGCTGGCAATGCTGTCCAGAATTCAGGCATGTTCTCAGACCAGGCTGTAATAGTCAGAAGAGCCTATAAGTAAAAGATATTTATGCCAGAATATCCTGCAGTCACGGTGCACTCCCCACGTGGCTCAGAGGAGGGCGTGGCCACAGGCTGGGCACCTCCCCCTTTCCTTATGTAAGGCCAAGCCTGGAGAGAACCAGTTATCCTCCAAAAGGTGTGATGTGCCCCTCACTGAGACATGATGACACAACCATGCAACCTGCTAGTGAGGCTGTGAGGCCAGCAAGCTCTATACTTCGTGCTGATCTCTCCACTGAGCCCCCAGTGTTATTTTCTGTGTGTTTTAAATAAGCAATCATAGTTTCACTCACCAAAGAGGTCAACGTGTCTGGTCTTGCCATCAGTTGGTGCCCACTATTGCTGTCAGTAAAATCAAGTCGCAAGCCTCTTGGAAACCCACTGGATCAAGTCAAAAGAGATGAATCCTGCCTTCCTCTTGCACACAACAGGTGCTCAATGAGTGCTGCGTGGACTAAGGACTCTACCCCTAAAGGTATCCAGGCATCAACGGGGCTTGGATGAGGCACTTTGGAAACAAGGCACAGAAATCTACTTGTAATGTAACATTCGAGCGAAAGGGAGACAAAAGGATAAAGCAAATGTCATGGAAACAAATACAGAAAGCGGAGCTGAGCCTCACAAGCAGGTCAGCAGGCAGTTGCTCTGTCCCCCCTCCCCCCGCGGGGCCACACACCATCATGGCATTGTAGTCTGCGCTTCATTCTTCCTGCTCTGCAGATCCTGGTCCTTCGCTTCATTAGCACACAGCCACCTCTGGTCACCCAACAGAGTGGCCTCTGCATATTTCTGGACGAAATGTTAATGGCTCGCCTTGCGTAAGGTAGGGAGCTAACATCATTTGGTGGGTGTAACACCCTTATCTGGGGCTGCTGAAAAGGACTAGAAACGCTACTACAAATGACAGACACTAGCTCTGGCGGGTGACGTGATCCCCTCAAAAGATTAAAATTCACACATAAATCTGAGTTGTGACACCTTTATTTCAGAAAGACTGCAGGACTGAATTGCACAGGTATACAAAGAATTCACAGCTGTCAATCATAATAAAACCGAATCAAAAACACTTTCTCCTGTACAGAAACTCGGCCTGAGAAAAATGTTCATTTGAATTTTAATCCACTTAACGTTTCACATCGTAGCAGGGTACGTTTAAAAACACTAACACTACTGGGGGGGGGAGGTGAGGGCTTACAGATGTAAGTAAGTCATGTGTAGTGACATCTCACTTATCCTGAGGTCACAGATGTGGCAACTGCAGTAAGGGGAGGGGGTGTCAGGAAGTACAGCAGAGGAAGCAGCAGAGCCGCGGAAATACCGTCACCAAGTCAGTGCAGCATCGCTCATCCATCCCACTGCTGGGAAAGCCTCCCAGAGACTCGCTCAGCTCCCCTTTACTGTTACTTGACCTACAGAATGCAGTTACAGCATCTCCCAACCCCATGTAGCAAATGAGAGGAAAAAGGAAGGCAGACTAAGAGCAGAGAGAAACAACAGGGAACAGGGAGGGGAAAGAAAAAAGCTGTAAAAACCACAGCAGAACTCAAAGAGCCCCCTCCACTCAATGGCTCTGCTCTAACAAACCTGAATAGGACCTGAAAGCACTCAACGTAAATGGTAAGGACCCTGAAAGAATTTCACTGTCTTCAGTAGATTCTGTTTGCCAAAGCAGGGGAGCGTATACTAGATTAGGAGTCCCGTGTAAATGGCTGAAACCAAGCAAAAAAGATGTGCGACTTGTAAGAACAGCCTTGAGTCGGCTTTACCATCCACCCACGACATCTGAGAAGTGGGGAGTTACCACACATACACTGCTTAGAAAACACACAGAACAATTTGTATCAAAAGAACACAGCACCTTTTCTATCCACATGACTGAAACCACAAAAGCCCGTTCACGGTAGGAGCACCTCAATCATGCAGGGATAGCTGAAGTCAGCTTCTCTGTGCGTGAGAACTTCGTATCGTATCCTGAGGGACCAGCGGTATTGATCAGTGGGCCCAAATGACCACAAGCCTTTCTTAAATAACAGGAGACACAGAGGCCTCAACCACCTCCCTTTAATCAGTGTTTCTCGAGATCTGGTCGCTGGAACTGCACAGCCGAATCTCCCGATGAACTTGTGTTAGAATGCAGAGCCTTGAGTCGCAGCTGAAACCCCATGAATCAGCATCAATGAGGGAGGCCTGGGGGACCTGCAGTTTAGCCCATCTCCCCGGGGGGTTCTGGTGGGCGGTCTGGAAAGTCTGGGAATCACTGTAATACATCCTCACCTTGAAGTGTAGGCTCAGTGACCTAGCCAGGAGGAGACTGGCCAGGTCTGTGAATTAACCCTTCCCACCCTGGTTCCTAATGTGCCCAAAAAGGCTACCCTCCTGGTTTTGATATTTCTTACACGAGACTGTACGTAATAAAATTAGATGTGGATTTCTAAACTGTTTTATCACCAGGAAAGGTTTCTGACATAATAAAAATAAACTCTAACAAGCCCTAATTAATTTTAAAAGGAGCGTAAGATTTCTAAGCTATATACTTGAAGCTTGAAGTAATGGATGCCTGCAGGGGGCAAAAAAATACTGAGCGAGGAAGTCTGATGCAAGTCCAGAGGACTGCCTGGGAACGGGGAGGAAAATACTAAACGCGGTCTTGGAGGAGAGGCAGAAAGAAACTTCCATCCAGAACAGGGAAATGCAAATCTTTTAAAAATTGGCTGAGATGTTTAAGCTGGTCCTTAACGCTCTTGAAACAGAGGCTGGAAGCTACTGGCAAACATATTTTGTTTGGCCGGCACAATGTTTTAAACAATCCTGAATTCGTTGCCCATGCACAAAAATAGGGATATTTCTTTTTTAAAAAAAATCTCTTCTTTTCCTGGAAAATTGGAAATCGGAAGAACTAGAAAAACCAACAGTTTGGAAAAACTGGGCTGGCGCTGGGCAGCAGCTGCCCACCTCTAGCCAGCCATGGGCTCCTGGGCTCTCCCCGTGGCCGCCAGCCTACTTCACTCATCAGATCTCCTGCCAGACACCTGCAGATATTTGCATCGGCCGCCCAGCCTCAAGCAATTAAGGCAAACAGCCTCTCTGTACTTCACTTTCTCTAACAGAAATTCTTGCTACAATGATATTTCCTTGCTTCCGAGGGGTTAAGAAAGGAATCAGATACTGTCCGCAAATCACCTAGAATTCCCTGTCGTCTTCTCATCTTTAGCTGCCTGCTGAAATCTCCTAGGGAGCTTTAAAAAACACTGAAGCCTGGGTTCCACCCCTACAGATTCTGACTTATTGGCCTGGGATGTATCCTAGGTATGAGGATTGCATAAAGCTTCCAGGTGGTTCTAATGGAAAGCCAAGGTTGAGAACGCCTGCCTTCGGAAAAGGCAAATCATTGAGTACGAAGGGTTAAATTCATTCCAGTGTCAACCTTCAAATGCAGATTTCTTGCCTCTCACCTCCTGGATAATTCACACCAACTTTTATTTTTGGAAATGCGCCATTATTCCAAAAGCCTACCAAATGCCATCCACAAACTGGAAAAGGCGGTCACAGTGTGTTCTGGTTGCTACTATCCATTTTCCCTCTAACACAATGGAAGAATGAAACACTAAGGAAATTGGGAAATATTCCTAAGACACAGAACTCAAGCAGCGCAAACAGCTCAAATACGATAGGAGGAGGCTCACAGTGGCAGGTTCGTATTTAAAAAATAATAATAATAATAATACAATTGCTTTGAAAAATTCACCAATGCACTAAGTGGAAAATTTTTCAAATATTAAACAAAGAATGATTTCCCCAAGACGTTCCAGTAATGCTCTACTTTTTATCGTAAAAAGATGAATTCCAAATTATTGCCTCCCTTTAGGCTTTTTTTTTTCCCCTTTACATAGCGTGTATTTACATCTTGGCTTCCCACCATGAGAAATGCAGACTACCGGCATCTGATTTTCAAACAGTAAAACACCACATTACGTTCCACTAGAAAAGGACATTTCCAAAATGGTTTCACGTAGTAGTAATGGCTGCTACTCACTGGACTTATGTGTACCAGGCAGCATGCTAGGCCCTCTTATTAGTACATGACCCCCAATCATTCCAACAACCTCACAAAGTTAATTCTATAACCCCATTTTATGAACTTAAAAAACAAGTTTCTGAAAGATTTAAAGTTACGTACATGCTCACTGAGCTGGTGGGCGGCCGTGCCCGGCTCCAAACCCGCGTCTGTCTGTTTGACTCCCAAAAGCGCGTCTTGCCTGCTTGACTCCCAGACTTGAGCTTTTGACACCACACCCCCTTGTTTCATCATCACAAGTAGAAAGATCTGTGCCCAATTATCCCCATTTGCCCAGGGAAAGACAGAAAGGTTACATGCTCTCCACAGCGCAGAAAGAGTGAGTAGGAGCCAAGAACATGCAGCCTGCGTTCCCGCCTCCAGGTTCCTTGGGGGACCAAATGGCAGGTCATGTGTTCCAGTTTAAATACGACTAATGGCACTTACATGGTGCTCCTGATGGGTAGAAATCAAATGCTCCCCATTTCTGAGCATCTTAAACATTACTATGAAAATGACTTAGCTTCCACACAGGTCTGGCACTTTCCTATCTGTTCCAGGCCACCTAAGAATCAGGAACGGGTTTAACTCCTTTATTTATCCCAGAATCCTCAAATGAATCCTATGAGCAATGCTGCAGAGAACATCCGGGCACAAGCCCCGCTCTCCAAGCCCCTGGCCCATCTTCGGCTGCCCTGGCACCGTCACCAGGCAATCCACAGGACACCCTGAAGAAGGGCGGACATCACCGCCTATGGGTTCTTTATTTGTAAAATTGTACAGGTTGTGCCCTAAGAAGCAGCTGAACGGTCTCATCTCCACGAGAGCCGCGGTCTGAGGCAGGCTCCCAGGGGAGTGTATCGTTCCACGTCCCGGCAGGAAGGTCTCCTCTTCTTTTAAGCTGCCAACACGGCGTCCTTAAATGTGTATTTTGAAAACTGTGTCCTTGGATGTGCTGTGTCCAAGAAAAGATTAAATCTCGAGCAAACAGTAGGCACAACACAGCTTCCCTGCAAGAGAAAGCAAACAGGCTTTATCACTAATAAACATGGCTCAACAATCAATACATACTTGCCCTCTTTGCTGAAGCAGCTCTTAAGACTCACCTGAATTCTATCACTCTGGATAATTCTTGAAGAAACTGCCTTTCTGCCTCCTAATGATCGTCCAACAAAGCAAGCACCTCAGAGGAGCGGGTTCAAAGGGGTGTTAAGGTATAGCTAAAATTGAGGTCTTAATCATTCTGATGTGGAAAAACTCTATTATCAAACCTCACCAAGCCGGGGGGTCCCCCAGCTGCCAGCAGCAAGAACAAAAAGATGTCAGGGCTATTTACTCAAAAATGACAGGAAATCAAAAATCTATCAAATGGATGTGTCAGCAGCAGCACCGCAAGCACGCTGGTTAGTGAGTTTTCGCACCCCATTTTGGCTTCTCCTTAGAATTACCTTCTAAGCTTTCTAACTGTCAGACGCCCACTTGGACACACAGACCAGAGACTTCCAGGGAATACCTTTAGTGCAAGGTAGCCTACACAATGTGGTCACGTTCTATGTGAATTTACATGAGGCGAATTTGAAATGTGGTAGAATATAAAAATGTCTCCTCAGGCACATGGGCACAAACCCCATGGAACGCTTTTTCAAACATTAAGAATTGCAAAATTCCAAAATTCAAACATTAAGTCCACTGTACATGGCACCTAGACTGTTGCCACATCACAGTGCCACTTTATCTGCCAAACGAAATGCCTGTATTTCTACCCCCATAGGCTCGTGCACTGGAACTTTATGAAGCCATTTTAATGATCACTTGCTGGTATTCATTGTGATCATTTTAATGTGTTTTTTTTATGCCTTAAAATAACACCAACCAAGTGGTGACGGCAGAGCTAATACAGAGAAAATAAACCCTCACACTATTAACTTTGAAACAGACGTAACATGTGATCAAATGCTACATTTAAAAAAAAAAGTTAAAATAAAAAAAAGGCCAAACCACCACCACCAGGCCACCTGATGTTAATTTAGGGGAGGGCACGTTCTCACCCAGGGGAGAGAAAACTTTTCTTAAAGGACCAGATAGTAAATACTTTAGGCTTTGCAGGCTGTGAGATCTCTGTTGCAGCTCTGGGGTTGTAGCTAGAATACAGCCAGGAGCATAGCTGGTTCCAATAAAACTTTATTTACAAAACTGGGCCACAGGCTAGACCTGGCCCTTGCGCTGCAGTTGCCTGACTCCCCCCTGCCATAGCTACAGAGCAAACCACCCCTGCCCCCTGCCTCTTGTTTAATGCAGCATTTTACTGCTCATAAAAGGGAGATCCCCCACCTACAACCAGCCTCCCATTTCCCACCAAGCTAATTTTGAGAAAATAAAAAGCTCGATTAAAACAGGCACACTTCAAGCTTGCAAAAACTTCGTAAAAATGGCCAAGAAAATAGGGGGAAGCCATCAACTGGCGACAGAACTGCAGCAACATCAATGCCTCAAAATGTTTCACATCATGTTTCTCGTGATGCTTATATACCTGTGCATGTTTGTCAAAACTTAACCAAACTGTACATTTGAAATTCATTAGTCAATTTACCTGTACATAGATGATACGTCAATGAAGCTGATTTTGAAAACTCTTAAAGCTTCAGCAATAGCCTCTAATTTGCATACAGATTTATGTGGTGAGAGTATACTTCCCTTCATATTTGCTCCTGAGAAAACTGGTCATACATTATTAGAATTATGGAAGTCCTTCAGGGACATTCAATCCTTGCATCCAATGCATTAAATGTACCTGTTCTGCACTAAAACTCCTCGTAGTATCCAGACCTCAACCACCTCACTCCAGAGAGGAGAATGAGTTGCTTTTTAAAAACAATGCAAAGCCCTGCGTTCTTGACTTAGCTCTGCCCCACAGTGAAAACAAAGCAAGCAAAGAACAAGAACAAGGGTCATTTAAAACAGCAGGTAACGCTTGTTTAATTTTCTCTTCTTCACTAGCAACACTTTAAATCACAAACACAAGTTGGCAATTTAAACATGAGTTGTTCTTGAGTCTCAGCCCTTATTTTTTTTTGTTTTTTTTTTTTCAGTTGTCTTTGCTCCATGGTGGAGCCTGTCAACATTCAAGCAGGGGGAAGAAACAAAACAAAACAAAAAATGGCGAACAAGAAGAGGCTGAGATGCTAAAACCAGGGGAAAGCCACACAAAGAAAATCACTCCTCTGATTAACCTAGTCGATGGACCGCATGACAACTTCAGACCTCAGCTATTGCCTTCCTCAGGGCCGCTGCATTTCATCTCTCTCCACTCAGAGATGAGAACTCATTTAAAGCCCTCATCTCTCAGAGTGTGCCCCCTGGACCGGCATCACCAGCATCGCCCGGGGAATGGTTAGAGACACAGATCCTCAGGCTCTCCCCAGAACTACTGAATCAGAAACTCTGATGCTCACTCAAGTCTCCAAATCACTAATTTCAAGTCTGAAACCAATACACACTTGTAAGTGGAGTCTCCTCATGCTCTCATTTGACTTGGAGCTGGCTTTAGATCCCAGCCTCCCAGGGAAGATGGGCTCTGTGCACACGGACAGAAGTACCAGAGGTGCCTGCTGTCCCTCACCGAAAGGCCCAGCCAGGGAAAATGGAGGGGTGGGGTGGTGGCCAAGTTCTCCTCCACAACTGTTCCCAGAACAGAGCAGACGCGGGAGCACACCACACTTAGATCCACAGCAACATTTCTGGGGCACCTGCACATGCCGGGCCTGTGCTAAATGGAGTTATCTTCCTTAGCCTTTACAGTAATAAATAAATTCACTAGTATGTGTGAACTATACAAAGGCTTAATATTCGTCAGGAGGGAGTGAAACCCACAGACAAGCAGAAACACTTGATGACCCTCCAGCTCTCATCCACAGGCCTGGCTAGTATGCATTGAATGCAGAGGTGCTTGAACATGAATGTTCCTTTTGCTTCTCCTTTGGTTAACTGTTCCCAGACGTTATTGTATTTCACAGAGACCAGGTTGCTTACACAAAACCACATGTACTCTAGCCTTAGGCCAACATAAGGAAATCTGAGGTAATTCTGAATTACCCAAGACCATGTTTGCGCTCCTTAAAGGTTTTACCTTCCCTCAGATGTTAAAAATCCGCTATACTCATTTATTTTAGGCTTTGATTCTCTCAAATAACTCTGTTCTGACTGTTCCACTGTGAAGACCATTGTCCTTGACACAGACAATAAAAGTAGTTAAGGAATGAAAAACTAAATAATTCTGAAATCCCCCTGTCATCCATCTGTTAACCCTACATCCTTTGCCCTAAACTAGAGGTGGCCCGTGCTCCAGCACAAGTGCCACCTCTTTCATCCTGTGCCCAAGGCAGACATTGCAAATAAATCACAGCACTCTTACCCAGGGCCTAAGAATTATTCTCAACGCCTTGCAATCCTTCTCAACAGCATTCCAGGCAGCCACTCCCAATTGGTAGAAGTATATATGACTGGTAAAATGTATGTATTTCTCTGGCCAAGCAACACACCCCTTTCTTGTTTTCCCTCCTGCTCCAAATACAGCTTTAAACCCCTCCCTTCGGTGTTCTCAGGACAACAGAATTGTGCTTCAGTAAATTCTGAACGGCAGTCTCTACAAACCTAGGCCACCTTGAGGGGTGCAATCACGGTGGACTGCGCTGAGCCGTGTAAACAGTTTGAATGCAGATGTAACCCAGCACGTGGTACAAAACTGCTCTGAAAATCAAAGAACCCAGTAAATAAAGGGGCTGAACAGATAACAAAACACCTGGGAGACAGTATGCTGTGCGCAGAGCTAGGAAATGCAGAGCATAAATAGCCCGGGGAGGCGACGCGTGACACTCAGGCTTATAAGCATGAAACAAGGCTTGAGTAAATAATTCCGATTTTGCGTCTGGTACTCACTGATGAGGCTTTATTCGGCTAAGGGGGCACCGCACTGTTCCTTCAGCAGCATCTCCATTATCCTAATTCCCTATGGAGAGAAGAAAGAAAAATCAAAATGTCACATTTCACGGACAAGCACTTTTATGTTTATCACAACCTTTCTCTTCAATGAAGCCGAGCTATGGCCATATATTCCTTTCAGAACAGTAGGCTCATGGTCACACCTTACATTTTTATATAATATATTCTACTCAGCAATTTCACATACATTATCTCCACACGTGCTCGGAACTACCTGGGGAAGCGGGCAGAGCAGAGCTGTGGATGCTCATTTTCAACATAAGAAAGTCCAAGCGATGTTAAGTAACCTCCGGAAAGGGGCCCAGCTCCTAAGCGGTGCTGCCAGAGCTGGATTAATAATGGTGACAGTTAATCCTAGAATAGTGACATCAAAGGTCACTGGTCCCAGGACACCATAACAACTGTAATGGTACGGACAACGTTTGAAATTACTAAAATATGACACAGAGACACAAAGTGAGCAGATGTAGGAAAAATGGTGCCAAAAGACTTGTCCGCTGCAGGGTGGCCACAAACCTTCAGTTTATAAAAAGTGCAATGCCTACGAAGCGGGACAAAGCAGAGCACAGTAAAACGAGGTAAGCCTGTGCTGACCAAGCATGTGCACGTGTGCTATACTCACTGCTAAGCCCTGTATGTCCATTACCATGGGGGAGTGGGTGCAGGGTGCACCAGAGAGATCTCCCCTCAGGACTTCTTCCCTAACTGCCAGCTCTGTAGGCTGCTGGAGGCAAACAGCCACCCTCAGCCAGAGGAAGATGCCTTACCTGAGGTCATGCCCCCTCTCCCAGGGAAGCCCACATATACTGGTGGGCATCGTGTATTAAAGGTCCAGCCCCTGCCCTCAATTTGGGGCAACCCTGAAAGGCATCTCATCACCATAGTTACCCATGGGCTCAGTTGAGACCTTCATCACAACTGCATCACAGTTCAACATCACCTTCTGCCTCATCCTGCTTCCCTCACTCCCTCACAAGAGTTGTTCCCAAGAGCCCTCTCCAGTAACCCTCTACACAAAAAGCTCCACCTTAGTCTGTGTCCAAGAGCCAACCGAGGACAGCTGGCTTAATACACACCAAATCCCTGAGCAAGTGCTCCTCCTATCCCCGTTTTACTGATGAAGAAACAGAAACTCCAAGAAGGTTAACTTTCCCAACATTATACAGCTATGAAGTAACAGAGCCAGGGAAAGAACACAGATGTGGAATTCTGGTTTCAGAGGCACCCCTTCACCTTGTGGCAATGCTCACTCCACTACTGTACAGAGCAAGCTGTCTGTCCAGCCAAATTCCACCCTGGAGGAAAGAGGAAAGCAGACACGCCCTCTTTCCTCCTTCAGGGACAAGTTCGTAGACCAGAGAATAAACCTTCAGGAGGAAAGTAACTGTGATGCAACTATGAACTAAGGAACTCAGGAAGTCAAAGCTGGATGGTGGGGAATGAGACTCACTGCTCTCAGGCACTGGAGTGTAACTGAGACAGAATATAATGATCAAGGCTAAGTTAAAATGCAGGTCCCCAGGCCCCTCAAGGGAAGGCGCTGATTTACTGGGAATCCAGTAGGCCCCGGAGCCCTGGACCTTTGACGGGCACCAGGGGCTTCTCATGGTCAGACAGGGCAGAGAGACACTGGTGGGCCTACCGGAGAAAGGCAGGGCCTTCCCACTCGGGATCTGTTCTGAGCCCGGGGAGGGGGTGCATCTTTAGAGAAGACAGTGCAATACACTGAGTACGAAAGAACACTGAGCAAACTGTGACACTTCCTTGAGGTTTCCCGAGGTCCTTCAGATCCGGGCTGGCCCTTCGCCCCAGACACTGCCAGAATCCTGAAAGGAAGAGTATTAATCAAAAGGTCTCGACCATGTGGAGGAGCACGGAGCGTGGGGTGAGCCCAGCAGCAAACCGCAGGACCAGGAGCCCGAGTGTCAGAGTCAGGAGACCTGGGTTCTGGCCACAGCCCTGCCAATTAGTCTGCTGGGTACTTAGGTTAATCACTTTCCCCAAGAAGTCACAGACTAGAGGGCTCAGAGGACCATGAGGCTGGCTGGACAGGCAGTTTGCCCAACAGAATCACGAGGGGAACCCACAAAGGCAAATACAGGTTCCCTACCTAGACCGATGTAATCAGAATTTCGAGGGCTGGGTGAGGAGAGTGTAGCTCAAGTGGTAGAGCACATGCTTAGCATGCACAAGGTCCTGGGTTCAATCCCCAGTACCTCCTCTAAAAATAAATAAACCTAATTACCTCCTCTCCCCAAAATTAAAAAAAAATTAAATAATTAAAAAAAAAATAATTTTCAAGGCTAGGGCATGGAATCTGTAGATTTGTAACATACCTCATGTGGTTCTGATGCACAACTAGTTTATATACTAGAATATGTAAAGAGCAGCTCCATGCTGCCTCCAAGATCCCTTACAGCCTTGCCAGTCAGGGAACTGATGAAACAGCTCTTCTTAATCACTTCTAAGGGGGAAAGGACGGGGTGGGGGATGAAACAACCTGCAGAATGAAAATTAACCTAATCCTTCACCTAAGAGCTGAACTGTGCTCATGTCTGCTCTCACTCATTCAACAACAGAACCAGTTAACAAATATCTATTGTGCACCTACTGTGTGCACCAGAGGTTAAACGGTGAACAAACCTAAGTCCCTGCCCTCATGGAGCTTATAGCCCAAGAGATTTCCTTCCCTTTGTTTCAACTTTTTTGTTTCAACAAACCCCTGAGCAGTAACTCAACACCTTCCTTCTATTTTCAGGGAGAGTGACAACGGCCAGGTGAACTCCGTTTCAAGCTTCCTTCTGCAGAGTGAGCCCGTAAGCCTAGACAGTACATCTTTACAACCAGAAAAGCCGACTCCTTCCTTAGGAAGTGAGCCCCGGTGAACGCTCCCCATCCATCTAAATTAAGAAGGCGGCCACTTACTGAGCTGAGCGCTAATTGACATAAGTGAAGACTTTGAGGTTTGCCTTGGGAATTGAAACACGTTATTTATTGGATCAATTATGTTCACAATGTGACAGTTGATTTTTCTTTCTCTGTTTTCCCCTCTCTCATACCACTTACATCTTTTTAAGCAGAACAGTTAAAAACAGAAGGTGGAGAACCAGGGCAGGGAGAAAGAGAGAGACCTATAAAATGGATTAAAAACAAAAACCCTAACAGGGAGGCCAAGCCATTATTTAGTACAGCTCTTTGGTAAGGAAGGGCTGAATCAAAGCCCAATCGATAGAGTCCTTTCAAATAAAGTTGTAACACATAAAACTCAACCCCCAGGAGATGAGGCTTAAAGGAGCTAAATTTACACCACTTATCACACAATGTTGCCTGAAATGCAGAACAAACATTAAATAGATCCACCTTCATAGATACAGCTTGACGTAAAAGCTTTTTGGACTGACAAATCATAAACCAGCTTGATTTTATTATTTCCTTCCCCTCTGAGAATTTTTTTTCCCTATTACAAGGCTATCTTTCTCTATTTGCCAATGGACAGGTAAGTGAGCCCTCTCGGTCTCATTTCCCTAATACCAGGGTTGTGCTGGCCAAACGCATCCCCACAGGAGTCCCAGAGTAGAGACTTTCAGATTCAAAACACTTCACAAATTCCCCACTCTCAGAGTGTCTGAGAAATAGCTGATTGGTACAGAAAACAAAAAGCCTGCATGAAGAGGAGGCCGAATAAGCAGGAACTTAAGGGGGCTAGACCCAGACAGTATATTTATTTTATTAAACTGATGCTTCCTTAAGAAGCTCTGACTCACCTAGGGGGCTCTGAAGAGAGTAAACAGCAGACCTTATAAAAATTACAGAGTTTGAAAGCAGTTTTCAAAAGGACACCTCTATGGGGCTCTCTTAACAAAAGAGAACTGCTCACTTAATTATCACAGTGATAAAGATCAGCCATAATTAGATGAAGAACAACCATTCGTGTGCTGAGTGCTTACCACAAGCTAGGTACTGTAATAACCAGATTAAGCATTGAAAGACACCCTCCCCTACGCCGGAAATAAAGCTTCTAGCGGATCATGACTTTGGAGTAAGTACCATTAACAGGAGCAGCGCCCATTGTGTGTAAGGGACTGCACTGATGCAATGAGGAATTAGATGCATAGAAAACATGATGTCTCTACTCTAGGGATCACTGGTCTCTTGGAAGGAATTAGAGAAATGCAAAATAAATGAAATGCAAGACAGCCTTTGAGAAACGTTACCATGTTTAAAAAAAAATTCAATGGAACAAGTAAAGTAGAAACTGAACGTGCATGAAGGCAGGACTTGCAGAAGCCGCTAGAAGATGAACGATTTGAGTAAGACCCAAGTCTGGTTATGAGTGTGATGCACAGAGTGAAGGGAAGTCCAAGCAGAGGGCAGATGAAGAAAGGGGATGGGGGCGGGAACAGCAATGCACGTGCAGTTAAGCATTTGTCTTCTTGAAGGGAGAGATGAGACTGTTATACGTCCAGTGTTTCCACCCTCCCCATTCCCCACCTGCTCACACACACTCTTCCTCCCACCTTAGCTCTGCTCTTTCCTGGGGGAGACAACAGCACACAAAACACCCCTGTGTGGCCACAAATAGCACCGTAATTATGGAATGACATTGTTAGATTTAGGGTTGAGACCAAGCTAGCTGAGAAACCTTGGGCGTTTTCCTTAAGCTTGTGCCTCATCATGGAACGGAGATAAAACAGTAATACGGGCTTGCCCTAAGAATTTGTTAAAATCATGTCTAATCTGGTGCTCAAAGTACCTAGCTTCTGGTGAACACTCAGTAAATAAATACTTGTTCATCTAAATCTCTTTCATGACTATCTATTCCCACAGGAATGAAAGTCCCAAAAGGCTAGGGGCCTTGTCTGTCTTGTTCAAGATGTAACCCCCAGTACACAGAAGGCATGCAATAGTATCCACTGAATGAATGAATGAATGAATGTATCAATCTACCAACCAATTATCAGCTTACAAATCTACCACATTCAATGGTCAGGTACTCAGAGACTGGGA